GAACACCTTCTCTCACGGCTTCGATTTAAATATTGCATAAAACTAAAGATACAACATAAGATAAACTGCCAGTGAAGAGAGCTCTAAGGGAAATGTGATCCCGTTACCATATATACTACTTAAAGTGTGGTAAGGACCACCACTTCAAATGGAAATACGTCCGTGTTCATCTGCAAAATGTCTACTTTTCCGATGTGTGGTGAAACGCTGTTGATCGTGTAGTCTGTAATCGATTCAAGGCACTGTTCGTCACAATTTAGCTGACCACAAAGATGGCCACGTGACGTTTTGATGAGCCATTTACAAGGCTGCATCTATATCTGTGTCACGTGATGTCTCGGGTACTAAGGTTACATAACAGAAGTCATTGCTTGAAATGCACAGTTGCAAAGGTTGCTGTGATCTCTTATTATGATGTGCAATGATTCACGGGTATTCAACGACCTGGTGCACATCGAGCACATGACACTGAGGTCCCACAGGGGTACCCAATCACTGTTGCAGGATATTTCAAACCATATTTCTTCTTGGATTATTATTACCATCGAAATATGATCACTGTCAAGCATTAGGCAGTATATCTCCGAAAAGGATACCAGTATGTGTTCTGAGAAGGTGACAAGCATGTTCCTCTAGTGCAGTCAGCCGCCAAGTGATGATTCCTCGGTTCTTACACAGTTCATTCAAGATATTGCAGGTTTTTTTCACCGGTTCAGGTTTGGTGAGTCAGCACGTGTTTAAACAAAGCTCTGTGATAGAATCGTCGAGAAAACATCCTGAAACGTGAAGCACTATTTCTATTTGCGTACTTATCCTTTCTTTACATTGATTGTACGGTTCCACTTGCGATACAGTCATTTTGATATGACAATGGATTGTCACGAACCCCAGTCGCTGTTATAGGATCATTTCTGTGCCCCAAATAAAATTGCATAAAATAAAAGTTATTTGAAAAGTTGAAATATCCTTAAATAAACATGTATCAAAGCACTTTGCATGAATACCCACATTCGGCTGACCCATCTAACTAATGGACTCCAGACTGCCAGTTTGACTGTGGAACCGTTCCTGGACTGTACGGAACCGACTGAAGGAGCACAAAATCCGGCCCCAACGGTCTGCAATGCGTCCAGTTTTGCTTTAACTTCTCCGACAGGCACGTTTTGGTGCAAACAGCATATACGGTACAGGAGACAAGATTGGGGTGGTGTTTTGTTCACTGACGAGTCGAGAATTCATCCGGACAGCTCAGATGGCTGGGCAAGGATGTGCAGACGGTGAGGTGAACGGTATGCTGACGCGTGCGTTGTTCAACGTCGACAGTTTTGCAGCAACAACAAAATGATATGGGGAGACATCACATCTCAAGGTCATACACAACTTGTCTTTGTCAAAGGCAGTATGACAGGCCTGCGATACAGGAATGAGATCATTGGGCCTCATGTGCAGCCGTTCATTCAAGGACAGAGACGTAACTTCACGCTTCAGCAAGATAATGCTCGTGCATGTGTCGCTCTTGTTGTCACAGATTTCCTGAGACAGCAGAACATTCCGGTATTCCCTGGGCAGATGTTTCTCGGGACCTGTCCCCTATCAAGCACGCGTGTGATGAAATGGAGAGACGTTTATGTCAAGCCCAGAATCAGCCATTGGCGTTAGCTGAATTGGGACAAGCGTTGGCTCAGACGTGGGACAATATTCACCAAGCTTTCTTCAATCGCTTAGTGTCGTCTATGCGTCGTCGTTGTCAAGTCTGCATCAACGCCAATGGTGGACACACTTTTGACACCATATCTCTATAAGGGCGTGTCACGATGCCTGGTGTCAAATCATACCAATGTCAATATAATCCTGTCAACAATGACCAAGGAAAACATCACTCATCATGTTTTTATCTTTTTGCATTAAAGAATGGCATAACATCACATAATGTCAGTTACCTTCTTCCAGTAGTATATATAATAATGCAAGAACGTATATGAAGTGCGTCGAAAGTCTCAGGCCAGATTTATTACAGAATAAGTGCATTTGTTAACAACCAAGACAAAGGTCAGTTCACGTGATATACAGATTACTATGTGGCAGTTATATTATGCAAGGCCATCACTTGAGTGAGTGTGGGAAAAGAAGCAGTTTCATTAGGTGATCGGTCCTCTCTCACTACCAGTACGGCTAGGTCTCGAGCAATAAAGTTTATTCTGACATATAAGTCAGCTATATCACGGCGTGACAGGAAAGCTTGCAAACCTTTACCACTTGGGTGAAAAAACAACATTATGGTGGGAAACAAGCCTGTTTTAGTTTCTTCTGGCATGTTTCAGCATAGGGAGAACAGATGGCCCAGTTGGCTATGGCGCCGCAATTTGCTGGACAGACATGCGTCCCTTTGGCACAGCAGAAACACTTTATTGACGGTTCGAATCCCCGTTCGTAGGTTAATTTGTCAGTACCCTACGCATGATCGTGGGTCTTACCGATGAGGTAAATGACTTAGACCTATACTAGGGCATGTTGGACTTTACTCCCACATTAAGCTAACACGCCCTGATAAAATTGAAATATTGCTTAAATCTACGTTACTCTCTCACTCGCTCTCAGTACGTACATTTGACTAACTTAGCAGGAAAACTGTTTTCAAGAGAAAAAATACAAAGCGCAAGTCTGTGAACGAATGTCTTTTTTTCTACATGTGTGTAGTTTACATTGTGAAAAACTCTATCAGCCGTGAATACACAACACCTTTTAGAACCCACACCCTGAGAGTAAGACACCTTTTAGAACCCACACCCTGAGAGTAAGACACCTTTTAGAACCCACACCTTGAGAGTAAGACACCTTTTAGAACCCACATCCTGAGAGTAAGACACCTTTTAGAACCCACACCCTGAGAATAAGACACCTTTTAGAACCCACACCCTGAGAATAAGACACCTTTTAGAACCCACACCCTGAGAATAAGACACCTTTTAGAACCGAAAACCCTGAGTAAGACACCTTTTAGAACCGAAAACCCTGAGAATAAGACACCTTTTAGAACCCACACCCTGAGAGTAAGACACCTTTTAGAACCCACATCCTGAGAGTAAGACACCTTTTAGAACCCACACCCTGAGAGTAAGACACCTTTAGAACCCACACCCTGAGAGTAAGACACCTTTTAGAACCCACACCCTGAGAGTAAGACACCTTTTAGAACCCACACCCTGAGAGTAAGACACCTTTTAGAACCCACACCCTGAGAATAAGACACCTTTTAGAACCTACACCCTGAGAATAAGACACCTTTTAGAACCCACACCCTGAGAATAAGACACCTTTTAGAACCCACACCCTGAGAGTAAGACACCTGAGAGAGTAAGACACCTTTTAGAACCGAAAACCCTGAGAATAAGACACCTTTTAGAACCCACACCCTGAGAGTAAGACACCTTTTAGAACCCACACCCTGAGAATAAGACACCTTTTAGAACCCACACCCTGAGAGTAAGACACCTTTTAGAACCCACACCCTGAGAGTAAGACACCTTTTAGAACCCACAACCTGAGAGTAAGACACCTTTTAGAACCCACAACCTGAGAGTAAGACTCCTTTTAGCCAGCAGACCAAGTCAGCGATCTAACCTACTCAGTCACCGTGTCTTTCACATAAATGGAAGCCTCACAACTGGTAGTCCAGTCTACGTTGGTGTGATTAGGTGCATTACTCCAAGGGTGTCGGTTAGAATCACGGTTGGGATAACGTAAAGGTACTAGAATTTGTACTTTACTGAGAAAATGTAATCCCAATTTATTTGTTAGGCTGCAATTTGCAGATTGGAACAGTTGTTTTTGCAGAAACAAAATTATAGTAATCGGACTCGCAAAGACCGCTATGGTTTAACCATTCATGTCATAGAATGATTAATCAGAAACCAGACTTTAAGAAATTGATCCCAAAGAGCCCATAAAACCGCTGTTCACACACGCCAAGCCACCGGAAATCACGTTACTGACCAGAAGTTTACAAATCGTCTTCATGTGACCACGTCTTGTACCACTGTAAACATACAGGCACATTCTAACCAGACCCAAAATGACGTATAGCTCGCAGGAAGGAAGGAATCGCCGATGATCTTCTAGACTGTTAATCTGGAAGTTCCGGATCAGTATGGGCGTGTTCATCCTCGATAATCTCCAAGGTATACCTATATATTGTGGAGATTTATCGGAACGTATACCCTGGAGATTATCGAGGATGGGGCGTGTCCTGAGGCTTTTGTTTGTTTGTTGTTTAACGCTGCACCCATCAATTTTCCGGTGATATGACGGAAGGTAACTTCTTGAAAGTTTCAGATTAGGTACAGTATTTGTATATTTAACACATTTACTTCCGTTCATATCAAACATATTCCTAAAAATGAATGTTGGAATAGTGGTTAAATATCGGAACACATTTCCTCAATAGCCCAGATTTCAGAAGAAGCATTACCCAACCACTGTGATTACGAGACAATATACGAGGGTGCAGACCCCTCTTCTCCTCAATGATTGAGTCAATCCTGTTTAAAAGCATTGAGAAACGGGTGCGATATGAAGTTAAAATTTATAAACTATAAATTTGAAACGGAATTTACCCAATGGTTACTATAGCATGCATGACAAAGGCAACATAAAAATTGATAGTTGCTAACATTGAAATATTAAAAAAGGTTTCTATTTATTATTATTATTGGATATTTATATAGTGCACATATCCACGCACTAGTGCATGCTCAAGGCGCTGGTATTTTTTCATTTGGTGCGAGTTGATGAAAGTCCGACCATTTGACATCCAGCAAGTGTATGTGCGTGCGTGAATGCATTAAATTAAAATCAGTTTCTGAAAATGCTGGAATGACTGTCATATCCTTAGTTGAGATTGACACACCTTTATCACATTCGCCTTTCACGGGTGTGACTGAATACCAAGGAACACCATCAGTCACGTTATTTTGGGATGAAGATAACAAAGCAACAGAATGTTAAAAATATTATTTATTTACACAACAGCACACACCAGTCACATCCAGATAACAAGTGAGAGGACGTCAATACAGGAGTACATGATTCTGCACTGCATCATACACAATCAAAATGCTTTCTTGTGCTTCCAACTCTTACCATTTATATATTCATACCCTATATGCCTACTCTGCCACTTTCAAGACACCCTCATTCACCGTAACTCCCCAGATACATGGAACTCCCTACATCCAGAGACACAAAGGACCCAGTTGGCTCCAAAGACACCCATTCGATACTAGTACTGTTGACCTACACCAAGATGCCCACAGGGTTCAGATACATTCAGCTTGTAACAAAGTCAAGTGCACTCAATAACAGCAGTCAGCTTCATACATTCACAACTATACAGCCTACTTGGGTTAACAAGATAAGAGACACTGAACTCTAAGGTAAGAACAAGATGCCTGCAGGAATAATGTTACATGTATCAAAAATAGATTCTTTCACAATGCAGGCCTCTAAATATGTTTAAAAGCATCTTGAAAACACATCTAAATGGCTGCTGTGTTCACACTGATTGTGAAACCTGTATGAGCAGAGTAAGCAGATGTATGTGGGAAAGGATGTAACACCTGAAACAGGCCTGTCTGCATTTATCTATTACATTTCTTTTTATTCAAATCTATCAATACAGATTAATTGTTTATTTTTCAGCAAATCTGATATATTTATATTCATTCTGCCTCACATTATGCATCATGAGAGACAGGATAAGGAAACATCTGTTGATTTTACTTTAAGTTTAATATGATTTTTACAAGATGCTTAGTGTGAGACAGCTTTTGTTTTCTTGTTTTTAACTTTTATAACAACCTGTCATAAAGAATGAGCACTCAACTGTTTCGAATGCTTTAAAGTAGCACAAATAACAAAAAAACAACTTGCTCAAGAGAACCACCTTGAGAATGGTGTATGTAAGGCTATATACAAATTCTGTGAATGACTTGTCTTTTAATTGTCCAAATTCTATTCAATATCTATGTTTGTGTACTAAATTGATGTATTTATATCCTGATTATTTCATGATTACCAATTGCAATGTTATGTATGGCTGCTTTATGAATGAAAAACTGGAGAACGTATGATGCAAAACAAATTTCCCTTGGGACAATAAAGAATTATCTTATCTTATCTTATATTTGTGCTCTGAAAAAAGTGAATCATTCATACCAAGCTTTAAGCACAATGCATACATGATTTTCTAAAAACGTTTTTAACGATGATGAAAGACTTACTAGTGAGACAAACAGTCATGCATACAGTTTTCTGTATCTGAAATATTGCGAGGAAAGTTTTGATATGTGTATACAAAACATTTAGAAACACAAATAAAATCCATTTCCCCACAACATAAAGTACAAGAAAGAATCACACTAAGCACTACTTTTTTTAATACAAAACCTAATATCAAAGAAATATATGTGTGTTGTGTATGTAGTTGTGAGTTGTCTGCACAAGATTCCAACTATTTCAATATCATGAGGAAACACAAACTTCACAGAACAGGAAGCTTACAAAGTTTTGCTTTTCAGCTGTCATGATTACTGTCTAATGTGCTAAATTCACAGCAAGTTATCGCCATAATCTTGTAAAGGTAAAATTATTAATGGCTGATTTTATGTGAAAAAAACATTTGGATTTAGTAAGCACCACACTATCTTTATCTAACTTTCCAAAACTTCAATGCATCTTTTAAAAATATCTGTATATGACACTGATTCTACTTTGGTAAGATACTTAGTACCATTGCTACCAGAAACTAGGTACAAGCACTTTACATGCAAAGAGGAAGTATGGTTTTACGCTTTCAGCAATATCACAGCTTGGGACTCCAGAAATGCCTTTCACACATTGTTGCAGTAGAAATAACTATTGTTGTTGATCTGTTACAAAAAACGTTATTACATACTTGATTTAGGTTTGCTTATTTCAAAATGAAATTGTAACTGTAAACAAAAATGTATGTGTTCTGAACAATAAAACAAGAATTAGATACAATCATGTTTAATCATAATATGTATAAGTGGTGCTAACTCTTTCCAGGTGTATATATTGTGTTTCTTATATTCACACTGAAGGTTTTGTCCTAAAAATCACTGAATAGCAAAACTTCAAAGGTGTCTTGTACAAAACTCTGGTCTGGTAAAATGGCCTTGACAAAGAGTTGAACAGAGGGACAATTTCACCATATCCATATGTCTAAACAGAGCTTATGTGCTACTTATTACTTATAAATCACATCATTTATGTGCTGTATTGTAAAACATTGAACACTGTAAAAAGTTAAAGGTCACATGCATTGTAAAACACAACTTTGCAGATTCTAATACTTTAGGTATGGACTTACAGATACAAATCATCAAAAATGCAAATTCAACTGAAATATAACGCAATGAATGCATTGTGTTTTAATTATGTTTGATTTTTTGGTTGCATGTGACCTTTAACAATAATTGAATACGTGTATATCCAAGATTACATCAGCCATAACAAGTCATTTTGTCAAACATTCTTTCCAAACATTGTTCTAAACTTTCCCACGAAAAATGTCTTGATGACAGCTTGCTCTCTGTACACACTGCACATGGATGACGGTAATGAATACATACATCAGTGAAATAGATTTCCTACATGAACGTCATCATAATTCCTCCTTAGTTGATTCCTGCTCCGTTTCGTCTTCTTCAGGTTCTTCCTCTGTCTCCTCCATTTCTTCCTCAGCTTTCAAGGTTGCTAGGGGTTCACTCAGTTCAGCTTCAGTACATGCAGCTGAAACACGAGATGTGAATGTATGAGACGTGAAATCACTTGCCAATAGGACTTCCTACTGGATTTCCAATGACTCAGTTTGTTTGACTATCTACATTATTTGTCAATAATTTCTCAAAAAGAAAGAAAATGAAGATTAAGAACTGTCACGACCAAAGGTGATCATGAGTTGTTTCCTCATAGTGATTAATGATGATGATTCCCAACATCTGATCCATCATTGAGTGAAAAATGCAGAGTTCTCTCCCTTGGATATGAAAGCTATTCAGCAAAATATGGAATCAACAGTTCAAAGGTAATAGAAGGTTTGGCTTGATGAGAGTTGAATCTTTCTGGGATAAGGGAATCATATCAGTTGAGAGCACTCCTGGCTGTTTTAATTGAAATCCTGGTTGTTTCAACAGGGTGGCACACATTATCAGAAGAAACAGGAAACTCAAATACTAAGTAAATACCAGTCCAGAGCGTTCAGTGAAGGTTTTCAAGGAAGGCTTATTTATCTAGTTAGAGTGTTTTGTCCACTTTCAAAAAAGAATCCAGCAACTATATTCCACACCCATTTATTATAGAGAGTGTCATGTAAATATAGCACATGTATGAGTTGACCATAAAAAATTCAAATATTAGAGAGAACATGAACTCACACATGCACACAGGGCTATTCACTGACAAAAATTACTCTCCGTAACGACATACCTGCAACATCTCCACAGATGATTCGGTCAGCATTAGGTAAACTCTTGCGTTTGAAAAGCCCAATAATGTCCTCTTCATGCTCCTCGATCAGTGATTCACACTGGAACAGGGCACATTGACATCACATATCGGTGCATAGCTTACCAAACACAATTTGTCATCAGTGTAGAAACAATACAGAGGGATGCTAGCTAAAAAATATCTCATTTCGATTGCCTCATGATGCTAAAGTGTCAGATGATCATAATCCTATCAACATTTTTATCAGTATACCATATTTACCTTACTGACTGACTGAGTTTGGTTTTACGCCGCTTTTAGCAATATTCCAGCAACATCACAGCAGGGGACACCAGAAATGGGCTTCACACATTGTGCCCATGTGGGGATTCGAACCCGGGTCTTCGGCGTGTCGAGCCAACGCTTGAACCATTAGGCTACCCCACCGCCCTATTCACCTTACTAGTAACCTGCGCTAATGAACAACCACTCCCAACTTCTAATGAATCTGACAGTTATATTTATTAGCTCCCCTTAATAAAACCGAACATGTACATGACAGTCCACAGTTTCTTGTGTATGTAGTAGATTATTTCCAGAAAACAGCAGTGTAGAAGGGAAATATACTCATAGAAACTAATTTCCAGAATTTCACCCACAGTGCAATACATGTTGTGAAGAAACCTGGAAACGGATAAAACTGACTGACTGACTGAGTTTAGTTTTACGCTGCTTTTAGCAATATTCCAGCAATATCACGGCGGGGGACACCAGAAATGGGCTTAACACAAAACGGATAAAAGAACACTTGTACTTTCATATGTTCCCTTATACGTTTCCATGAGAATATATAAATGCCTGGTGACTCATCAAAAACAGTTTTATGGACTTTTGAACTACGTTTGTTCAATACTGCATGCTGTCAGAGTTAATTTGTGAATTGTTTTTATGAGTCCCCAACTTTGTCAATTTCTGGTGCATATCATAATGAAATTCAAGAAATATTTTCAGTTGTTGTGTGGATACCTTCAAGCCTGTAAAGAAACCAAAATGACAGCTGTGGGTTACCAAAGAGAAACAGACTTAAAGTAAAACTGTTTAAAGGAACACTGTGAGTCTGTCTCACATTCAAATAAATGCAAAATGAATTACAACAATATGACCGAAGGAACGTTTGTTTTCTCAACGTAAAGCTCAAAAACTTTTGTCGAATACATGGTCAAAGATGCTCTCAAACACTGTGTGAACGCTGAAATGTGATTTTATCTTACATAGAAACGTAGTTGTTGCTGTATCTCTCGGTTGATATTGATGTTCTTGAGAGACAGAGGTTTGCCGTTCCTGGAGTTGGTCCTGACAATGCTTTTCTTTCCATCATCATCTGTTGTCTGTGCATATTCATTCATGCGACTGCAAATCTCCTCAACCAGCTCTGTCAAGTGAGTCTCTGACCTTGCATATGGAATCTAACAGAAAGATAGACACACCCTAAACATTTAGTAGTTGGTACACAACTAAATATCAGCTTATCTATTTCTGCCAATGTTTACAATACTCAGGGATGAGAATTTTCCGCAGATTTTATTGCAATGGGGTTATTCTTGTGAATCATCCCCCCTTGGATCTGGCAAAGGGACCTGGGGCCCAAGACCCCCTGCTCATTTTTTCACTCATACCCATTCTCATCCCTGAATACTGCATTATGTACTTTGCAGTCACTGCACTGGCTCCCAATTGAGCACAGATTAACTAATAAACTATGTTGTCTTGCTTTTAAGTGTCTCTCTGGAATGGCTCTGTCCAGCCTCCTCGATATCTACCAGCCCACTAAATCTCTCAGATCAGAGAACAAACGGCTCCTTGTTGTCCCTCATGTCCTGACCAAACAATTTGGCGATAGAACATTTTCTTATTCTGCTGCTACTGCTTGGAATAGCCTACCCATTGAAATTAGACTCTGATGAGACTATTCTTCCTTTCACTCTTATCTCAAGACCTACTTCTACAGACTCACCTATTCCAAATGATTCCCACCACTATTCTGTGGCCCTTCTTGTGTGCACCTTGAGCATGCATTGGGCATGGAATTTGGAAAGGCGCGCCTTATCATAAAAAAATTCAGTTTGTTACAAAACTGCTGAAAGGGAAAGTAGCAAACTGAAAGAATACGTTATTAACTGCCATTAATGAGCATCATAAAGATGGGCTTTGGGTGCGTGTTACATACCAAGACACATTTTGTTTAACATGTACCTCTTTCAGAGCCTGGTTGCCTTTTGGATCCACACGGAAACTTCCCGCTTGCAGGGTTTTCTTTGGATCAACTTGACTTATACTCCAGGCCATTTCATCAACCATGACTCGACACACTGTAGGTAAACAGAAGACAGTCTTTCAGTGTTCACGAATGGCGTTTCAAAGTAACAGGACATTGGATCCTGTAAGTTTCAGATGTCTGTCTGACCCACTGAACATTCACAGGACCCATAGAATAAAATTAAAAATACATTTCAGATTTAGCATTTCGTATAATTGGCAATGAAAGTATAAACAAACATAAGATTTATAAACAGCAAACAGGTGTCACATGTCCCATATAACAACTTCAGTCAAAGTCATTGTGAAATATACAGTCAGACACTGGGGCCGGCGGGTTGTAGACTTCTATCAGACCGTTGGCAAATATGCCGGATTTGTCAGAGGGTCAGACGCTATTCGTGAATACTGGTCTTTCTATTATCCATAAGCGAGCAGTTAAAGGGAAACTGGACTGGCATTTTTTGGCCATCCCAGCTTATTTTATTCAAGTTGTTCAAACAATCAATCCAGCCATTAAAGATTACCTAAACTGTTGATGTCGTATTTTACACATGGCACCATGGAGCACTTTTTACTTCTCCCCTTTAAATCAAAGATCTGGGTTAAAATTAGTCTTCTGACAGCAATCAATGTGTGTTTGAAAAGGCATGGTCAGACTTGTCAACATGGTTGAAACATGTCAACTCCATATTCCAATTGCATAGATCAGTGCTTGTGACAAACATGACTATAAAAACTCAAGACTGGACTAACCCACAAATGATCATGATAAATTAGTTGGTGTACTTTTTACAGAGTAGATGGCATAACATTATATACAACTTACAACCACATACTTTACCTCTAATCATGATCAGTGCTTACACTAAATAATGGACAGAGAACAGTCTGTTTCATACTTGAATTCCATAACATAATTAGGTATGGTTCCTGAACTCACCTGCACAATACAGTTGTTTATCTTTCTGTGTTTCTCCAACAGTAAACAGCACCAGTAGGCACATGGCAATGCACAGCAGATCCATTCTCAGGCTGCCAATGAGAAAATGTAAGTACTTAAGGCTAGCTCACTGGTCTAAATAGCCCAAACACAACATTCATATTGTTCTTGTACAGCAGTATTTAGTGATGTATCATCTACTTATAGGGCCACTAAACTCCAGCTTTTAAAAAAAGTTGAAATATAGATTAGTTGTGTACGTGGGTATTTAATCCTAACCTCTATTGGTTTTTTATAATGATCTTATCAGGGAGATTATTTACCAGACTTGATTTAGTATCGAAAACAATTAGAGCATATTGATTAATTGCCCAGGGATATAGCCAGTTTGGCTCAAAATATTTAGTTTGTCTCAAAAAGAGAACTATGAAAATCAAAGGGAGGTAATTACTTACAAATAAAACACGCATTGGGCACCTGTCAAAATTTAACAGGCAAGTAATATGCATTATAAAGGATGACATATTTTAGCATTTTTATATCTAGTTTGCCTTAGTATTGTCTGAGTTACTGCTGACATTACACCCGGTTGCCACTCTTTATTGTCAGCCTAGAGCGTACTGGCAATGCCAGTTGAGAGAGTCGTGGTGATTGCTCATTGGCGGAGAAGCGATTCGTAGAACAAATCACACAATCGACCAATGTTTGTATTTCTTAAAGTTCAAATTAAAAACAAGCTCTGCAAAAACGTGTTGCACTTACAGAATTCTCGTCTTTATGCTGTTCGTAATGCACGTCACCTGTTTACTTGTCCAAATAGATTGTTCTACTCTGTCCAACACGCAGGCGACACGCCGGTATGTTTTCGTCTGCACTTCTCACGTTTTGCTTAGCACATCACTAACGTTTTGAAAGCTCATATTATCAAATAAAACTCAAAGGCTGTATATTTAAAAAAAGGTCGTTATCTCTACTGAACAACAGCATGATTTAATAATCCATAACCAGAGGACAGCAAAATGTTTACAATTGTGCATGCTATAAGTGTCACCATGCTTTTGGTCCTATTTCAGAGAATGTTTATGGTTCTATCAACAAACATTCACTTAAAAAGACCAAGGTCATATTGTATTTGTAGCCAGGTACCTTGTGGCATTTATTAGAATTATGGAAAATTGATTGCACACATCACTTCATTACTCTGTTCTTGTACACATATTTTGTGATTCCTTGGATATAAATAGAACAGGAACATGGCAGAAACACACGGAACTGACCGTTCGAATACAACCACCTAAAGTCAAATGAGGACATGGGCTTCAGAGAGAAAGTTGAGAAATGTTGTACAAATCCCGGAGCGTGCTTAACGATTTAATGGGAGACGTTTAATCTAAACGACATACTAGATAACTTAGGCATACGTATCTGCACTGAGTATTGAATATCAAATGTACTTATTGAGATCTCTGGAAACCATGTCAGGCACGAGATGCATGTTGATCATCAGACACATGGATGTCAAAATGTGTTCTAAGTTTAAGATAGGTCAAATGAAGAGAGACTTGTCATCAGCTGCTCACAAGCTACAACCATGTCTCACGAAGTCTGACACTCATACAATCGTTAAAAACAGACACTTCAGTTTACAAACATCACACAATCCACGTGAAATAATGAAAACAGGTCCCCCTGAACTACGAAAGTGTATACGCACACTGTACAGTCTGGTACAGCCTCAGAAAGTAACCAGTGTCTCCCACGTTCCTGATCACATCAAGAGACCAATGTATGTGCTGACAGGGAAGGTTCCTGTGGCCAGCAAGCCGATTCCACTGAAGAACCAGACCCAGATAGATGGAATGAAAGCAGCCTGCTCCTTGGCAAGTAACATCCTAGCAAAGGCAGGAGAAGCTGTCAGGGTAAGATAAACTGTACTGGCTAGCGAACAGTTATCGCCTCGTAACAGTTATTGCCAAGACATCAGTATCACACGTGTTCTGTTCCGGTCACGGTATTTGACAACAATAAAGGACAGCAAAAGAAATTTGTTCGCGGTAAGTAACATAGGAGAAAAATGAAAGATAAAGTTATGAACACTTTATTTTTTTAAACATAGTCGGGGTGGGTGGGGGTGTGTGTCACCCGATCTATATAACAGCAAGTTCAAATTCACAAGTCAGTAATTGTTTCATTCCCTATCAATCTACTGTAAAAGAAACACTCAAATAGTCACACAATCAATTATTCGAGGTTACTGTATACATGTGAAATAGATATATGTTATTTCACGATTGGCATGAGAAATTCTGAAATGGTGATAACTGTTACGGTTAGTTGTGAGACAACATCTATTAAATGTACTGCCATGATTCCCTTCCGCCACGTTATATTAAAACACGATCGACAGCAGTGAATGGGCTGGACACATCGCCGAATAGCTAATTAAGTATTATAATTAATTCTGTTTCATTAATGTAACAAACAGCAGAGAAATTTTGTAAATACCGCTAAAATAAGGCGATAACTGTTTGGCAGCCAGTAACTGTCAATGAAGATAAGCGCCTCCGGTATGAGACAGTTTTGTCATAATGGACCACTGTTTGTTAAACAGATATGTGTATCAGATTAAGAAGTTCCATATAATTACAAAGCGTGTTTAAAATGATACATTTGTCAGGTTCAAGCCCCTGAAGATAAATTGTGTTTTCTGTGTAATTCAGCGAAATGTTATTGACATTAAAGATTAGGTTTTGTTAAGAAGGCGTCAGTTTCATTCCAAGTTGATGATCAATACTAACCTCTCTGACTTCATCTACTTCCATGTGGTAGTTTAATATGTCAGATGATGTAGAACATTCAGATGCTTTGAAAACATATTGAAGTGAATCTTGTCATGAAATATCTCCCTTGGCGCACCCACCCACTCACAATCTCACAATCTCAATCACTTCAGACAGGTGTAACAACAGATGAAATCGACCAACTTGTCCACAGACTGGCCATAGAGAACAATGCATATCCATCTCCGCTGTTGTACAAGGGCTTCCCAAAGTCTGTGTGTACCTCTGTCAACAATGTTGCTTGTCACGGCATCCCTGACAGTAGACCCCTGATGGACGGAGACATCATCAACATTGATGTGACAGTAGGCACATTCCTTGTACAATATTACTATGCTTCCTTGGGGAAACAATTGTTTGGGTTAGATTAGGTCAGGACTAAGCAAACTATGTTGGTCATAAGAGACGAGTATATGGATCATGTTGTTTGTTTGTTGTTTAACGTTGAACTCAGCAATATTTCCAGCTATATGACTGTCTGTACATATTCAAGTCTGGACCAGACAATCCAGTGATTAACAGCATGAAGATTGATCTGCACAATCGGGATATGATGACGTGTCAACCAAGTCAGCGAGTCTGACCACCCAATCCCATTAGTTGCCTCTTATAAATGGATCATGTGACCTGGCTGATAGTTTGTCAAGGTGTATGAGTGAGTGACTTGATTTTTACGCCGCACTGAGCAATATTCCAGCTCTATGGCGGTGGTCTGTAAATAATCGAGTCTGGACCAGACAATCCAGTGATCAACAACATGAGCATCGATCTGCGCAATTGGGAACCGATGACATATGTCAACCAAGTCAGCGAGCCTGACCACCCGATCCCGTTAGTCGCCTCTTACGACAAGCATTGGTTACTGAAAGCCAATATTCTAATCCGGACCTTCACGGGTTGTCAAGGTACCCTTATGGTGTAGATTGCTGTTCATGATATTCATCACTTGTTTGTCAGGACTCAATAGTATAGCTGAAATGTATGACAAACAATTCTGTTGTACATGTTAACATGGTTAACAATGGTGTAGCTGAGTGGGGAAAGCATTGCCCAGTCCTGCTAAGAGTCTGGGTTCAGTTCTCACATGGACACAGTGTATAAATAACAATGCCCATTCTTGGTGTGTTTGAACTGTACTAGTTGATATGTATGGAGACTTTTATGAATAGTATAATATAACTGACACATATATGGGTCATTTGAGAGGGACGTTCATCACAAGAATGTGTAACAGAAGAAAATATTATCTGTCAGTAACTAAGTTCCTTCATGACAGGTCATTTGGGTCACCTGAAACAATACTTCATTTATTAACCCGTGAAGATCCGGGTTAGAATTGATCTTCAGTAACCCATGGTTGTCGTAAGAGGCAACTAATGGAATCAGGTGGTCAGACTCGCTGACTTGGTAGACACGAATGCGTGGATCGATGCTCTTGCTGGTGATCACTGGATTGTCTGGTCCAGACTCAACTATCTACAGATTGCCGCCATATAGCACGAATATTGCTGAGTGTGGCGTAAAACTAAACTCACTCACTACTTTTTTTTGAAATGTAACAGACTTGACATTCTGCAAGTTTCAGAGACAGTAAATGTCAAAACCACTGTAAACTCATGTTTTATTGGTTGTTGTATTTACACATGAATTGATGCATTCCTCAGAATGTTGTGTCACGTTAACCAGAGATTTGAAAAGCAATATAGATTGACACACAACATCAATATTGATTAATAGCTCTGTTAAGGGCAAATGCAGTAAACTGCTGCAGTTCAAAATGTGTATGTTACTCTTAAAACACATGTTTAACTACATGAAAGTGAATTGATTTGTGTATTGATCTAATATCTTCTTTGTTGTTAAGGTGTACTTGAATGGTTACCATGGTGACTGCTCGAAGACATATCTGGTTGGCAACGTTGACAGGGGAGGTCAGTTGTTGGTTGATGTTGCAAGACGTTGCCGAGATGCAGGGGTTGCTGTTTGTAAACCAGGTGTCAGATTCTGTGAAATAGGCAATGCAATCAGGTTTGTCACTATGCTAATACCATGCAGAGGCATTGCCTTACCAAGGTTAGGAAATTGATTTCCTTAACATGTTGTTTGTGTTATGCAGATGTAGTGTTTGAGATGCATGTTAGTTCACTAGACTGAGATTACAAAATTGTTTTGAGGACAAGTAAAAGTCCAGTGATGGTAGTCTTCATTGACTAGATGGATTTAAGGCTGTTCTGAATTAATTTGCACTGCTGCTGGGGTGGCGGGGAAGCCTAGTGGTTAAGCCGTTCGCTCATCACGCCGAAGACCCGGGTTCCATTCCCCACATGGACACAATGTGTGAAACCCATTTCTGGTGTCCCCCGCTGTGATATTGCTGGAATATTGCTAAGAGCGGCGTAAAACTAAACTCACTCACAAACTAATCCCACTGAAGTGGGAGAGTCAAACGATATTACTGACTCTTATTTATTTATTTCAACTATATGTTGTAAGTACTAATCAGATGTTGACAATGATTCCTGAATGATGGTTCACTGGTGATCTTCATTATACCTGTATTTTCCTTCAGTTCTGCTGCTCACAGTGCTGGATTCTCTGTGATTCCTGAATTCTGTGGACATGGAATAGGAGAAAACTTCCACGAAAAGCCTGATATCCTCCACTTCGGTTTGTACAGTACAACATGTTGGTCTAAAACTGGGATTGTTCAGTAGCGTATAAGGGCTATAGTACAGACTTGCATTCCGTTATGTCAAATCAGTGAAATATAAGGCCATTGAAAAGTCATTTACACCTGTTCTTACAAATGACACTCTGATTTATTGGGGTAAACCTACAAATGTAACTCTGTGGTACAGGGATAGCAGGAACAAATCTGTCCACAGTGGTTCAGGACAGGGCTGATACAATGGTCCAGGGAACAAGCTGACCATGGTGGTTGACAGCAGGGAGAAGGGGTGGCGTGGGGGGACCAAATTAAACTTGGTGGCCAAAGGACTGGGCTGGGTCCTTGGTTGGTCCAAGTTGGGTCCTTGGACTACAGTGGTCCAGGGACCGAGCTTATAACAGCTGACCATGGGGATTCAGGGAATGAGCTGACCACGGGTATTCAGGGACTGAGCTGACCATGGGGTTCAGGGACTGAGCTGACCATGGGGATTCAGGGAATGAGCTGACCACGGGGATTCAGGGACTGAGCTGACCATGGATTTCAGGGACTGAGCTGACCACAGGGGTACAGGGACTGAGCTGACCACAGGGGTACAGGGACTGAGCTGACCACAGGGGCACAGGGACTGAGCTGACCACAGGGGTACAGGGACTGAGCTGACCACAGGGGGAGTACACAGGGGTACATGGACTGAGCTGACCACAGGGACTGGAGTTGACCACAGGGGTACAGGGACTGAGCTGACCACAGGGGCACAGGGACTGAGCTGACCACAGGGGCACAGGGACTGAGCTGACCACAGGGGTACTGGAGTTGACCACAGGGGACCACAGGGACTGAGCTAACCACAGGGCACAGGGACTGAGCTGACCTCAGTGGTACACAGGACTGAGCTGACCACGGGTAATGAACTGAGCTGATCACAGGGGCCATGAAATGAGTTGACCAGAGGGGTACAGGGACTGAGCTAACCACAGAGGCACAGGGACTGAGCTAAGCACGGGGGCACAGGGACTGAATTTACCACAGGGGCACAGTGACTGAGCTGACCACAGGGACTGAGCTGACCACATGAGCACAGGCACTGAGCTGACCACAGGGGGTACTGAGTTGACCACAGGGGTACAGGGACTGAGCTAACCACAGGGCACAGGGACTGAGCTGACCACAGGGTTACAGCGACTGAGCTGACCACAGGGGTAGGAACTGAGCTGATCACAGGGGCACAGGGACTGAGCTGACCACAGGGGTACAGGGACTGAGCTGACCACAGGGGCACAGGGACTGAGCTGACCACAGGGGTACAGGGACTGAGCTGACCACAAGGGGTACATGGGTACTGAGCTAACTACAGGGGTACAGGGACTGAGCTGACCACAGGGGTACAGGGACTGAGCTGATCACAGGGGGGCACAGGGACTGAGCTGACCTCAGTGGTACAAGGACTGAGCTGACCCACGGGTAATGAACTGAGCTGATCACAGGGGCACATGAAATGAGTTGACCACAGGGGTACAGGGACTGAGCTAACCACAGAGGCACAGGGACTGAGCTAACCACAGAGGCACAGGGACTGAGCTAAGCACAGGGGCACAGGGACTGAATTTACCACAGGGCACAGGGACTGAGCTGAACACAGGGGCACAGAAACTGAGCTGACCACAGGGGCACAGTGACTGAGCTGACCACAGGGGCACAGGGACTGAGCTGACCACAGGGGTACACAGGGACTGAGCTGACCACAGGGGCACAGGGACTGAGCTGACCACAGGGGGTACAGGGGTACTGAGTTGACCACAGGGGTACAGGGACTGAGCTAACCACAGGGCACAGGGACTGACCTGACCTCAGTGGTACAGGGACTGAGCTGACCACGGGTAATGAACTGAGCTGATCACAGGGGCACATGAAATGAGTTGACCAGAGGGGTACAGGGACTGAGCTAACCACAGGGGCACAGGGACTGAGCTAAGCACAGGGGGCACAGGGACTGAATTTACCACAGGGGCACAGGGACTGAGCTGACCACAGGGGCACAGGGACTGAGCTGACCACAGGGCACAGTGACTGAGCTGGGCACAGGGACTGAGCTGACCACATGAGCACAGGCACTGAGCTGACCACAGGGGTACTGAGTTGACCACAGGGGCACAGGGACTGAGCTAACCACAGGGCACAGGGACTGAGCTGACCACAGGGTTACAGCGACTGAGCTGACCACAGGGGGAGTAAGGAACTGAGAGCTGATCACAGGGGCACAGGGACTGAGTTGACCACAGGGGTACAGGGACTGAGCTTACCACAGGGGCACAGGGACTGAGCTGACCACAGGGGCACAGGGACTGAGCTGACCACAGGGGCACAGGGACTGAGCTGACCACAAGGGGTACATGGGTACTGAGCTAACTACAGGGGTACAGGGACTGAGCTGACCACAGGGGTACAGGGACTGAGCTGACCACAGGGGCACAGGGACTGAGCTGACCACAGTGGTACACAGGACTGAGCTGACCACAGGGTAATGAACTGAGCTGATCACAGGGGCACATGAAATGAGCTGACCACAGGGGTACAGGGACTGAGCTAACCACAGGGCACAGGGACTGAGCTGACCACAGGGGCACAGGGACTGATCTTACCACAGGGGCACAGGGACTGAGCTGACCACAGGGGTACAGGGACTGAGCTGACCACAGGGGTACAGGGACTGAGCTGACCACAGGGCACAGGGACTGAGCTTACCACAGGGGCACAGGGACTGAGCTGACCACAGGGGCACAGGGACTGAGCTGACCACAGGGGCACAGGGACTGAGCTGACCACAGGGGTACAGGGGTACTGAGCTAACTACAAGGGTACAGGGACTGAGCTGACCACAAGGGGTACGAAGGACTGAGCTGATCCATCTGATTTTGTCTGCTTGTGAAGTGTGTTTGCAACATAAGCCCTCATTGCTGTTTGCAACATCATGATTGTCTCCCTTTAAACACCAGTTTTCTTCACTTACCACTGATGGCATGTCATATTGTGAAGGCAACTTGACAGTATCAGGTTGTTTAATTGGTCTAATGTGTTTGCAGAGCATCATGATGAGGCTGTCATGGCACCTAGGATGACTTTCACTGTGGGTGAGTTTCTCTATGTGCTAGGATTGTTGTGACGAGTAACTAAATGACCCATGCTGGCTCTCAGCTCCATGTCTCTGCCCTCATTTGGTCCTGGTTGTCTAATAATTTGGTCCTGGTTGTCGACTTGCCTGGTTTAGACATTTCAGAACCAATTACCAGTGGTCACTTCATCCCTTTTAGTAGTCTGTTTCACATCAAGCTAATACTGGTGTCATGCAACTTACACCCTTTCCTGTGTTGCTACCCTGAGTAGTCTTATCTGTTTTTGTGTTGGCAAAAGCTACTTTTAGCAAAATCTTTTTTCATATTTCAACTTAATGAATAATGTCATCGATTGGAGTGTAAACATTGAGAGGGACATTAAAGATTTTTGAGACTGCATTTAAACCAAGGAGTCTTTTTAAACTTTGATTTAAACATTAGGAATATAAAAAGGATCTTTAAGTTTCTATCATACCTTGTTAATTTCTAACATAATGCGTAAAATACTCTTGTGTCCCTCACACATGTTGTTCAAGGCTTAAAACGACTGGATATTTTCTGTATTGATTTCTTCAGTGTATTTATCACTTCTAGACGGTACAGTGTGCATTTCTCTCCCCAGAGCCAATTATTTGTTCCGGACAACCAGACTTCCGTATCTTAGAGGATGGTTGGACGGCGGTGACACTGGACAGCTGCCGGTCTGCCCAGTTTGAACACACTGTTCTAGTCACAGAGGAAGGGGTGGAGATCCTCACACTGTGATATCTTTAGAGAAAAATAAATTTATAGTTTTGAACTTATGATGTATGAGTTTTCATTGTATTTTTTATGATATGGATCTCTCACATTACTGCCAGATGTCTGACACATTACTACCCGTGAAGATCCGTGTCAGAATTGATCTTCAGTAATTCATGCTTGTCATAAAAGTTGACTAACGGAATCTGGTGGTCACACTTGCTGACTTGGTTGACACATGTCATCGTATCCCAATTGTGTAGATCGATGTTCTTGCTGTTGATTACTGGATTGTCTTGTCCAGACTCGATTATTTACAGACTGGAATATATAGCTGTAATATTGCTGATTCTGTTAGTCACCTCTTACGACAAGCTTGGGTTTAATAATTCTAAACTTGATCTTCATCTGTCTATTTTTCAGTAGCTGTCTTGAACAATACTGCTCCAATTTTTCCCTGAAGGTAAACTTTTGCTCGCGATATAGTGAAACAATGTAGTAGAAGCGGTATAAAAGTAACCTGATGACGGCAGGGACAGAAAGACCAATGGTGATCACTGAAGTCCTGACATGGCAGATTGAACGATATCAGCACCTGCTTCGGTGGCTCACTGGGTAATATACTGAATGTGATACATGTTGCAGGTTTGATTCACAATTTCCATGACAACAAATCAAAACTTTAAAAATCAACAATAGATGCTTATTTAGATGCTCTTTGCTCTGCTGTCTTACGATTCGATTGTAAAACCCCAAAACTGGAAGTTACACAAAACGTGTTCAATCTTTGATCAGCAGGTGTTACTTGAAATCAGTACCTTCATATTGTTACTCTGCAACAGCAAGATATCAACAATAGAAAAATAGCGACTGTGCATTATATCCTATAGTCAGTGATGAACGCTCTTTTCATTGGTATTTGTAAAACTATTCAGTTATTAGTTACCTTCTGACATATGTTTCAAACTGATTCGTAATATTGATTTTGGTAGAGCAGAAGAAATATCCTGATAAAGAAATCAAGGTTAAGTAGATTCTGCACGAAAGGTGAGCTTCAGTGCGTACTGACAATCGCATATTTTTCACACTGATTTGTAAGATAGGTTTTGGAAAAAAATGACACTAGACATAGAAGAAATATCTTGATCAAGAAATCAAGGCTAAGTAGATCCTGCACGAAGGGTGAGCTTCAGTGCCTACAGCAACCATTTGGCAAAGTCGACCTTCTACTCAGCTGAAGGTGGAGGTTAGAAGAGTTACCGAGTCGTGGGAGGCGACTCAATGGATGAAGTGGGCAATCGCTGTGCCGTTTTGATGGCGTGTCGTCATACCTCCCCGGAGAGTGTTGTTGCTTATAATATCGATCACTTGTTTGGCCGACCAGATTCAATCATTTACAGGTCGTGGTAATAGGCCTAGAGCTGGACTATTGCTGAGTGCTGTGTTAAATCAACAGAGATAATAATGTTAGAACATTGTGAGAAAGTGATACATGGCCGAATTATCGACTTTTCTACCTTTAGTTTCGTCAAGCCAACGCTCTGTGTAATAAACTTTGTAAGTCATCAACCTGTTTATCTACAGATCCAATGTCCAGAGTTAGAATCGTCGTGAAAGATGACCGACCGGCTCGCAATGCCAAAGCAAACGGTGTGGCCGCTTGCAAGGACTGTTTTCCGCTGTCAGCAGTCGGACGAGTATGTTTTGGCTTCATAACGGCGGTCTGATTGATGTAGGTTGAGTTAGGATTCTGGATCAAGTGAATCAATATTCAGATGAATGAGCAATGACCCCGCCATCTGGCAATGACGTCACAACAAAGCAACCGACTGATATTATAAATTGCAACTCTGACCTCATTTCAGATGTTCCCGTGGGCGTCATTAGGTGTCCCTTGGCTATAGCTAAAAGCACATGCTTGTAATACAACTAGCATCCTGCAGACACTGTGCATGCGGTCAATGCTGGCCTGCCGTTTATTTATTCTTTTAATACTATATCTTAATAGATTCTGGGTTTAGAGCGCTGTGACTTGCCGTAGGACATAGTCACCTGTTTGAGTATAACATTCTGGAATTGCTAATGACAATAGTGCTCTTTCTAATACATTATGTACGACTCGTCTGCTTGAATTATCTGTTCAGTTATTGAATATTGTTGATGTAATCACTTTAATCATGATTTATTTAGATCGAGCCCACTATTGATGACATACCACACCATACGTTTATTTCTTTTGTTTTAATTTACATGAATGACAATATGTGAGTTCATTTATAAAACATGATCTTTCCCGATATGTTTTATTTCTTTTCGACACTGGTCGTACGACTGTGGATTACGTCAAACATGACTGATGTTGAAAGAGGTTTCAAGTTGCAGATGTTCATGACAAGCGCTGACATTCTTGGTTGGTTCAGGTTACTGCAGAGTAAGTAAAACCAAGGCCACTAAAACTGGAACCTAATCAACACTTACAATGCGCACAGAACGATTTTTGTTATACATATGAAACAAACACATCATTATTCGTACAAAAACTAAACTGGCCAGTCGTGCTGCAAGACAGTTGTTGGCGAGCAGCGGTTAATGTTTGAGCATATCTTAGGGATGTGCTTAATGACGATATTGTTTGTGGTGCTTATTGACTGGGTATATCAGTTTGTGGTGCTTATTGACCTGGTTTATCTGTGGTGCTTATTGACTGGGTATATCAGTTTGTAGTGTTTATTGATTGGGTATATCAGTTTGTGGTGCTTATTGACTGGGTGTATCAGTTTGTGGTGCTTATTGACTGGGTATATCAGTATGTGGTGCTTATTGGCCGGGTATATCAGCTTGTGGTGCTTACTGACTGGGTATATCAGTTTGTTGTGCTTATTGACTGGGTATATCAGCTTGCAATGCTTATTGACTGGGTATATCAGTTTGTGGTGCTTAATGACTGTATGCGAGAGATTCTTTCCATTGACCTAGTTTTTGGAAAGTCCGGAAATATGCAGTGTAACTCTTTCAGCCACGGGTCACGTCTAATTTGTGAAAGAAACTTTACTCTAAGTGGCTGCTGGCACAAATGAGTATATCTGCACAATGGCTTGGTACATCTGCGTGTATCTGCGATATGTGCTTAAAGAGTGTGTATATCAGCAAGTAGAATATACCAAATAAGTACATCACCAAACTGTGCTTACTAATGGCGATATCACGTGTTTATCAACGACTATATCCTCGAGTTGTGCTTATCGACAGAGCATGTAAGTTCAATATCCTCATTAATTGTGCAATCACTATGTTATGCTTTGAAGTGTTGTGTATTTCCGCGAATAGCGTGCCTGTTCACTTTTCTGAGCTAGCAGCGACAGTTTGCTGTGAATGCCCCAATCTTAACATATCGACCAACTGTGCTTATCCACTGAGTATACCAGTAAACTCTATTTATATTCGCTGAGTATATCAATGAGCTGTGCTTATCCACTGAGTATAACAGTAAGCTGTGCTTATCCACTGAGTATACCAGTAAGCTGTGCAAGTATCTACTGAGCATGTCGACAAGCTGTGCTTATCCACTGAGTATATCAGTGAGCTGTGCAAGTATCTACTGAGCATGTCGACAAGCTGTGCTTATCCACTGAGTATACCAGTCAGCTGTGCAAGTATCTACTGAGCATGTCGACAAGCTGTGCTTATCCACTGAGTATATCAGTGAGCTGTGCAAGTATCTACTGAGCATGTCGACAAGCTGTGCTTATCCACTGAGTATACCAGTCAGCTGTGCAAGTATCTACTGAGCATGTCGACAAGCTGTGCTTATCCACTGAGTATATCAGTGAGCTCTGCTTTTATTCGCTCAGTATATCAATGAGCTGTGCTTATCCACTGAGTATATCAGTGAGCTGTGCAAGTATCTACTGAGCATGTCGACAAGCTGTGCTTATCCACTGAGTATACCAGTAAGCTGTGCAAGTATCTACTGAGCATGTCGACAAGCTGTGCTTATCCACTGAGTATATCAGTGAGCTCTGCTTATATTCGCTCAGTATATCAATGAGCTGTGCTTATCCACTGGGTATATCAGTATGATGTGCAAGTATGTCGGCAAGCTGTGCTTATCCTATGAACATATCATTGAGCTCTGCTTATATCCACCGAGCAGGTCGCCGACCTGTGCTTATCCTCTGAGGACATCTGTGAGCTTTGCTTGACCACCAATTCTGTCGGTGATGATGATCTGAACCGCTGGTCATGTCTCGGATATTGCTGCACTGAGCATATTGGCGAGCACAGTTGAGGCACTAGGCTTCCACGACAACTCTACGACCTTCTTTTTGGCGAGGCCTGAAATAAACAGTTTAACTCTTTCAGCCACGGGTCACGTCTAATTTGTGAAAGGAACTTTACTCCAAGGAGCTGCTGGCACAAATGAGTTAATAAAACGCAAGAAATTCCCCATGGGAATCTGCAGATTGGCATTGATCGCCACGCATTGCTCTGCTGAGAGCTCCATGCAGAATAAGTAGATACAAGTGTTGATAAGAGCTGGTCAGTAGGCCCGTAGCGAAAGGACATGGCAATCGAAGGGTCTGATTCTTGTACTGAGAAGGAGATGAAATATTGATGTGAAAGAACTCCCAGTTTGTAATATATCATGTCTGTTCTGAATCTTGAAATATTATAACTGAGATATGTCTATACCAGCGCTTGTCATCCCCTCTCTTTCTTCTCTTCTAATTCCCTGTGGGGTGTACCTCGTCTCTGTGTTAAAGATCGAGATCTCGGGTTAAACAGGGCATGTGCGGAGCTGTTAAGCTGAGACTCGCTGAGGCCAGTATCCAGGATGACGACGCGTTCTGAAGTGGCTCTCATGCTTTAAGTGCCGATATTCGAATGAATTTCGTTTACAGCAGTTTTATTGAAACGAACTCCCTGAGTGTTATGTTCTTGGCGATTGCCCAATTTATGGTTTTCAGACACCGTCTTTATGGTGGGTTCTATGAACAAGGCAGATATTGTCACACTATAAGCCCTGACGTAACACGTGACCGGTGTGTGACAATTCTT